ACAACTTCACATGAGTCTTCTAGATGAAGAGTGACTACATGCTATAAAAGAGTGGATGAAGTTATGAGAAAAGTTACAACTAATGGCCTTAAAAATTAGAGCATGAAGCCATGAGAAAACTGCTTTCTTGTGTTTTTAAAAGGAAAGCCACCACACCCATACCCCTTCAACTCTACAAACATTTCTACATAATCTCTCGTGAGACTTTAATGGACACAAATCTCAATCAACTCAAAAGCATCCCAAAAGCTTCAATACTTGATTTGACTAAATTAGATAAATTTTCCTTTAACAAATTTGACATAATGTCTTTAACACATCACGCATCTAGCAAAGAACACTGAAGTTCAATTCTCCAACAACTAATAGAGTGCCAGCTCCTAATAAAATAGTAATAACAACACATTAGCATTGTTCCTTTTAGATTTTTTATTTTTTATTTACTGTAATTTCCTTTTTATTATCATCAATATCATGGCTGCTCTCACCATGCAAGTCTCACATGTTTCTTTATCTTTATTCATCAATTTGTTTTATTTTTAAGCACTTATATTCAGAAAAATTATAATAAATACCCCTAGAAACTCAGCATTTAATTTTAAAAGTCAGAAATATCACACTTTTTGGAGACACATTTCTCTGGGATGCCCGCACAAAAAATCTGCCAAAACGCCTTTATTTGATGCAGCTCCACATCCTAGGACTTCAAGACTTAGGATAGAGCTGATTTTTTTGTTTTTGATAAAACATGATAAGTTGATTTAACTTCTTCAATCAGTTGAAACTTGAGCCAATTGTCCCTGGATAAAATTGCAAATACTAATGGAATCAATTAAATTCAGCTTTGAATCTTCAATTTTTCAAACAAAAATTTTAAACTTTTAAAAATATCATTAATTTAACAAGGGAGTTAGAGAAATATAGGTAATGAGAAAAATAATTAAGAGTACTTTTGAAATAAGCTTTACAAATAAATTCTTATTTTGATCAAAATATCTTACATTGCATAACATCAAATTACATAAAAAAAAATCTTATAAAATAGGATAGGAAATTAACATTTTTTATATGACTATTTAATTAGGTTAAGTTTAAGTATTATCAAATCTAATCAGAGGTGACTCTCTCAAAAATATTTTTTATATTTATATAAATTCAAACCTGAAATTTCATATTCCAGCAGTGATGAGTCCATGACCCTTTCCACTAAAGCCAATCTGGATGATACTTTGTTTTCTCCTTCTTGGGACAATATAATTATGATTTTTGGAGTACGCCAAATAATGAAAGACTGTATTTGTGATGCCCACGGACATGTCTCTCTCTCTGTTCACACCTGTCATCTTGTTGCTATGCTTTTGGTCTCTTTGGAACTTTCCAGTTCTATTACTCATTTTTTGAATTCAGGTAAAGTTATTTAATAGGTAACGATGTCACTTACTATTTCTAAAGAAAAAGTTAAAATTTTGGATTTATATTGAGAAAAATATATGGGAATCAGATAATTATTTAAATTTGCCATTCTCTGCAAAGAGACATTGTTGTGTTGTTGGACACATTACGTATTCAAATAAATAAATAAGAATTACGCCGTCTTTAAAGTAAACAACGGCCAAAAATGTAAAAAGAGAAAAGAATAGACATCCAAATTCCTTATTGGATATCTGTTTCGGAAAATCAAGTTATTTTGTTATATTCATCCACATCTCATATCCCAACATTCCCACAAGAAAAGTATTCATATTTTTATTTGATTTTCAATTAAAATATGGTGAATATGATTTTTTTATTATTTAAAAATATAATAATATATTTTTAATTTATATAATTATCATGCTGCCGTAAAAAATATATTTTTTATTTTTATTGAAAATTTATATTTATGTATAATATAAAATTTATTATAAATTACCCTATTTATAAATTATGAATAGCATAATTTGTTTTTTAAAATTTTTACATCTTTCATTAAAGAACCGCACTAGAATTAATAAATAAAAAATAAGAAAAAAATTTTAAGAGGTCTGCATGAATTTCAACCTACACCACACTATTACAAATTCACCATATGTAAATAGCATGACATTTTATAATTCTATGAATATATAAATTAAAACATGATGTCATTTATATTTTTATTTATTTTCAAAAATAGATTGTGAATTCTACTTGTATAGCGCCTAAATCAAGTTACTCCCTCCACAACATAATATAAATTATTATTAATTATTTCATGATTTTAAAAAATAGGTAAAATTTTCATCTCTTGACAAAATTTACATCTTTTCAATTATGTTCACATCAAATATTATATATAAGTGTTTTGATATTAATAATTCAAATTTTAAAATATTTTTTGCAAAACAAATAGTAAATGAAATAGATGTATAACTAGAATTTTATACTCGTGTAATGCATGGGATATTAACTTTCAGTTGTAATATAAAAATAAGTTCGGGCTGGGGTGGCATTAGAATAAGGATTTGTACTTTAAAATGATGATTTATATTACTTATTTTGGATTTTAAAATATTATAATTTATATTTTAAACAATGAATATATAACATTACAATATCAAACTTAATTTTTTTAAAAAAATTTAAAAAATGGCTTTTTAGGTTTGGCCTTGAGCCCATTTAATAAATATTTGTTTCAAGAAATAACTAATTTTAAGGTTGAAGGCTTTAGAAGTATTAGTCCATAAGAGTCAGATTCACCTTTTTTTTGATTATGTATATTAGAAGTTATTTCAATTAGCAATTTATTTTTGATGATATATTTCTCTTTTACATGGTGAAAGAATAAATAATTTATTTTATTAAAAAATTTATTACCTTTTACATGTTGAAAATAAACATCAAATTATTTTTGTAGAATTTATTTTTAAGTATAAATTAAAATTCTAGAAATGAAAAAAAAAAATCACTGCATTGTATGCCTACCAATTTACAATTTGTGTAATTTTTATTTAAATTTTGTTTCACGTTTCACACATATTTTTATCATAGATTTCATATTCATAATTTATTTTTTTGGAAATTTTTATTTGAAATTGAGATTCATTAATTTTCACAAAGTATTTCTTTTTTGTATAAATATAAAAAAAAATAAGTTGTGACATATACACTCCCTCCATTCCAATTTATAAAATACCGTTTGGAAATAATTTAGTATCTTAGTATACAAAATATTTTAAGATTTCATTGATTATATTTGTTCAATATTATCCTTCCTTTTGTATTATATTTTATTCTCTATTTAGATTTCACAATTAAAGTTATCTTAAATTAGGGATATTTTTAAAATTTATTAGTATACATAATTTTGTAAAAAATAAATTACTCCCACTAGACCATAATACTTTAAGTATTATATAAAGTATTATGGTTCTCAAAAATTCTAGTTAAAACCTTAATCTTTTAAAAAATTTATATCTTTTTAATTATACCTTTATTAAATACTTTATATAAGCATTTTGATAATAATAATTAAAATTTTAATACATTCTTTTTTTCAAAAAGTGTAAGAAATGAAGTAGAGGTATAGTTGAAAAACAATTATAAAAATTATCAATATTTTATATTTTAAATTAAGTAAAAATTTTAAAAAATATCTTATATTATAATTCAGAAGGATTATTTTATAATATTAGTTCCATATTTATTATTCATTTTCCTTATGAGTCCCATGTCCACCTTTTTCTATTATAAATCTTTCTAATCTTTTATTTTTTATTTACTATATAATAATTAAAAAACAAAAAATGTCAATAAAATCTATCAAAATTATATAAATGATAATCTAATCCCTTGAAATACCATAATTTCAATAAAAATCTTGAAAACTTTTGTGTTAATAAATTTTAAAGTGAAAAGACTATTTTACTTTCACTGAAAATAACAAGCCCTAATCATGATTTTCATTTAAGGAATCACAATTTTCATTCTGTAAATCATAAAAGTTGAATAAGAAATCATAATTTGTCAAGTATAATTTTTGTTATAAAAAAAACCCCAATCATAATTTTTGCTTAAATTATAATAACTTTTATTTAGTGAATTACAAGAGTTAAATAAAAAATTATAATTTCTTAAGTGTAATTTTTATTATTAAAAATTAAGTTTTCAAAATAACAAATCTCATTCACAACTTTTGTTTGAAGAATAATAACTTTATTTAAAGAATTACAAGAATTGAATAAGAAATCATAACTTGTCAATAAAGGTAAAATTATCTTTTTAATTTAAAATTTATTGACAAAGAAGTCTCTAGTCACTTTAATAAAATTATAGTATTTTAAGAGAACAGATTATCATTTATATAATTTGAAGAATTTTATTGTTATTTTTCTTAAAAAATTTCTATAAAAAAATAAAAAAAGAGGACGGATGGATGCTAATTACAATACAGGGTAGATTGCAAAAATAATTATAAAGAGTACCAAATACTTTGTATATTATACAAAGCAAGATTTTTAGAATATGTTTTACTCCCTCCATTTAAAAATATAAGACATTTTTAAAGAAATTTGATGTTAAAAAATATGAAATATTTTTAATTTTTTAAGGTATACTCATTACTTTTTTTTTTAAGTATCCCTATTGAATATATCACTTTATATTTTTTTTAAGGTGAAACACCCTATCAAATAGAGATAAATATAAAAAGATATAATTAATTAAAAAATAAGTAACTATTTTTATTTAAAATAAAATTTAATTAAAAATATTTTTTATTTTTTAATGGAGAGAGTATATTATATTTTGGGAGGAGTACATTATTTTCTTCTTATCACTAACAATAAATCCGAGATAAATTACACTATTATTCTTCTTATCACTGACGCCGAGGGAAAAAAAAAATAAAACACTAATATTGAAGAGTCCAATGATGGGTGGCATAAAATAAATATAAATGAAATAAAAGAGAAATAAATAAATAGGGAGTCATGGACAGAGACAGTAAAACGAATCTTGTATAAGTACATCAATAAATTTCTCTTTTCCTCTGTTCCTTCCTTCCCCCCTTACCCCTTCCCTTTTGGCCCTTGGCCTTCTTCTTTCTTCTGTCTCTCCGATAGCGAAACCGTGTCTCTCTTGCAGAACGCGCAGAGGTAGAAGAAGAAGAAGAAGAAGAAGCCATTGAAGGTCAAGCATATTATCAGAGCAATCTGGCTTTTCTCTGGTCATACCCATTTCGTTTCATGCCAGATGTAAACCCGATTTCACCTTCTTTGTCAGCTCCAACTTCAAGAACTCTCTCTGTTTCTTTCCTCTGTACTCATTTGCTTCAATATCTCGCACTTCTTTTCTCTTTCAAGGATAACGAATCTGAAAGAATGCTTTCTCTCCGGTTAAGCCTCGTCGTTTCGCTGCTACTCCCCTTATTCCCTCTCCTCTGTCTCGGGATTCGGTCGTTACCGACGAGGGTTGCTGTCGGAGATCGGTTGGAGTTCGATGGCTTGTTTCAATTCGCCGAAGCTCCGGATTACAGAAATGGAGCCCGGTGCCCGGTTTCGTCAAATAAGGGTTCAGTTTTGTCTTGTGATCGGTCTCTGGTTCACATAGCTATGACTTTGGATTCGGGTTATCTTCGGGGCTCCATCGCCGCCGTTCATTCCGTCCTCAAACACTCCTCGTGCCCCGAAAATGTGTTCTTCCACTTCATCGCGGCGGAGTTTGACCCGGCCAGTCCACGGGTCCTGACCCGAATCGTCCGATCCACTTTCCCTTCCCTCAACTTCAAGGTCTACATCTTCAGGGAAGACACCGTCATCAACCTCATCTCATCCTCCATTCGCGAAGCCCTAGAGAACCCTCTGAACTACGCGAGGAACTACCTCGGCGATATCCTTGACCCCTGCGTTGACCGGGTCATCTACCTGGACTCCGACGTGATCGTCGTCGACGACATTGAGAAGCTCTGGAACGTAAATCTCACCGGGAATCGAGTTCTCGGAGCGCCGGAATACTGCCACGCCAACTTCACCAAGTACTTCACCGACACGTTCTGGTCGGAGCCGGTTCTTTCTCGGGTCTTCGCGTCGAGAAGCCCTTGCTATTTCAACACGGGCGTGATGGTGATGGATTTGGGGAAATGGAGAGAGGGGAATTACAGGAGGAGGATCGAGACGTGGATGGAGTTGCAGAAGACGAAGAGGATTTACGATCTGGGTTCGCTTCCGCCATTCTTGCTGGTTTTTGCAGGAAACGTTGAGGCTATTGATCATAGGTGGAATCAACACGGTCTAGGTGGAGATAACGTGAAGGGAACTTGCAGGTCGCTTCATTCTGGTCCTGTGAGTCTCTTGCATTGGAGTGGGAAAGGGAAGCCATGGGCGAGGCTCGATGCCAAGCAGCCTTGTCCTCTGGATAGTCTCTGGGAGCCTTATGATCTGTTCAAGCCTCAGAACAGTGGAAAGGATCAACAATGGGGCTTGTTTTCTTCGATTCTGGTTGGGTATTCGAATGATTTGTTATGATTCTTTGATAGATAATTTGTTTACAGTTACTGTCCAGATTATTATTCTTTGATTAGCTGTGTACAGAGATGGATTAGAACACATTTCAGGAGAGATTGAAGGGAGAGAAGAGGAGAGTGGGTTTATATTTCATTTTTTGTTTAGATTCTTTCGTGTAATTTTCATGTATTAAATTTCCAATTCTTCTTCTTCTTCTGGGGATGGAGTTCTTGTTACAATCTGAATTTTTCTACAGAGGTGGGATTAAGTTGTTTGTTATGGGACCATTGATCATTGCATCTACGAAACAAAGTGGAGAATAATAGTAGTAATTATAATAACAGAGTTGCTGCATTCTTTCATTTCAATCTAGTTTTTTTTTTTACCAAATCATTTCAATCTAGTTTGAATTTATCTTTCTAGGGAATCCTCAATCGACAAAAAATCAAGGGATAATATAATTGTTGCTGCTTGTAGTGTTAGCGCGTTTTAATTATAGTTTCTATATTTTCAACGTTAGTGTTGTTAACAGAGTTAAATTTGTTGATATATATACCCCTCCCTCTAAAAATATAAAATATTTTTTAAAAAATTAAATATTAAAAAATATAAGATATTTTTAACTTTTTAAGATGTAATCATTTTTTTTAAGTATCTCTATTGATAAATAATTTTTTATTTATTATAAGGTGTTTAATAGGGATAAATATAAAAAAATTAAGTTAATTTAAAAGTAGATAATTACTTTATTGCGAGGTAAGATTCAATTAAAAATATTTTATATTTTTTAATGAAGGAGTAAATGACATTATCAATTTTATTGTTGAGCTGGTTAAATTATGATTAGATGTATATTGTATAAGAAAAATAACCATTAATTTTTTTGTTTTTCTGTCACCGTTGGTCATCCGTTTCTTGTTTAAGAATTATAATTTAATGTTCTACTTATTTTTTACATAGTGTTTATTTTTATACAATACAATATAATTTTAACAAGCCAAAATAAAAAGTGATAGTGTTAAGTTCTTGAGGCTTTAGCAAATTTAGCCAACATTATATGATTAAATAAAATTAATAACTCACTTTTTTTTAAATTAAAATAATGGCCATTTTTAATTTACCTTTAATACAAAAGATAAAATCACCCTTAAATATCACAATACCCTGGTTCTCCTTTTTCACACTGGTTTCATTTTCACCCACTCGAAGACGTAGAGATGACACTGCATTCTCGATTACGACGATGAAGAAACTGACAATAGGCAACGAAACATCTCACACTAATGGATAAACGAGTTAGAGATTCAACTAGGAGACCGTAAGAACACGAGGCGAGGCGAGGTAGACTGGAAGCTACAAATTCAGGTTGAAAAATCACAAATGCGAGGTGAGGAAGTCCAAAACTGCAACTTCTACATAAAGCCACACTAAAGCTGTAGATCCAAGGTGAGAAAGTCTGATTAAACTCTGTTACAAAAGCCAGAGTTCAAGCAAAGATTTTTTAAGATTTTGTTTGATATGTTTTGGGAAAATAATTATATTTTTTTGTGTTACTGATCTACGATAATACATCATTAATATATGATTATATATCAATTATAAACAAGTTTATGTTTGATTGTCTGGTTATGTTGATCTACGATAGTATATTAGTGATATACTATTATATATCACTAATATATAAGCTACATGAGTGAAAACTTATCAATTTGTTTATCATTAATATACAGTCATATAATATCACAGATTAGTAATAAAATTTCCTTTTCAATGTCTAATATCCTCTTTGTAATATCTGGGAAGAACAGAGAGGGAGAGAGAGAAAAAGCTCTGCGATGAAGACGGTGATTCAGAAAAATTAGATCAAAAATTTTGATGAAGAAAAGCACTGTACGAGAGATGAATATGATAATCTAAAAAAATTAGATCAAAAAATATAATAAAAAAATATTCAGAGATGATAAATTTGAGAGGGAGCACACATAATATGATTTTTGATGATAAAAATAAAAGACCTAATCAGCTAAAGATTGGTTAAATCAAATATATTCTATTTTAATTATAAATTTATTCTGAGAATACAAAAGAAAAATACATCTAATTAATTTTATGAATGAATCATATTTTAAAATATTTAATAATCCCATCCATAATTTATGAGAGCCATTGAACTAATTTTCTCTAAGTTCTTAGGGTTATATTTAAAAATTTATGAACTAATATAGTGTACATATGAAACTTGATTTGAAGTAATGAAAAAAAATATAAAGATGAATACTTAAATATCCTAAAAATATAAGGACTAATGGTTGTATTTTTTTTAAAAAAATAAAAAGATTTGTTATTAAATAAGTCAATGAAGTGATTGAATAATTAAGTAATAATTAAAATTGTAGTTGAATTATATTCACACTGAACAAAATATTTTATAAAAGCAGACAGGTCATTAATTTAATGATTTATTAATTGAATCAATGAAATTGAATTGAATTTTAATACAACACTAAAAATACAATAAAAAAGAGAGTTTGGTTGGCACCGATGGAGAGTATGATTGAGTTGTGATATAATTCATGGGTTCTCTGTGATTCCAAGGGAAGATAGGATTAAATTAAAGTGGAAAAGGACGAAGGAAAGAATATATACACTGCCACGTGGCAACGCTGGTGGGGATGAAGAAGATTGAAGGTTACTTCCAGGACTTTCCCTTTAGGTTAGAGGAACATCTCCCTCATGTGGTTTTGTTGGACCCCACATAAATTGAGCTTTTATCAATGGCTATGTTCTACGCGTAAAGCTTTATCTTCTTTTTAATTAGTAATCTTGACCTACAATTCTCTTTCTCACTTCAATATAATTGAATTATAATAAAAAAATTGAACCGAATATTAAATCAAATTAAATATCTAAGCCGATTCAATTGATCTTACATTGGTTTAAACTAGTTCCTAATTTTTCCTTTTAATAATAGATTAATTATGTATCCGTTTATTGATTTTTCTAATTGAACCAATTAGTCCAATGTAGATTTTTTCATCTATATATTGTTTATTTGAAACACAAAGATAAATTATACATAATTCCCATATAGCATAATTAAATGTCGCAAAATTTGTTGACAATTTAGTAAAATAAAATAAGGTAAAAGAGCAAATTAGCTATTAAAGTATAAGTTCAGAAACATATAAGATTTTAAATTTATTTTTAATATAATATTTCAATTCAACTTTTGAAAAGAGTGCAAGATGATTCTTATCATTAATAAAAGTTAAGTTTAACCATTAATTGGTTAGAAATGATAGAAAATAACCTCAAAATTATCCAAAAAAGATAAATAAAATTTACTTGATTATTTCCTGTAATTTTTTAGGTCTTTATAATTAATTTTTTTTTATTTTTTGTAATTTTTTAAGTCTTTTTTTATCATGTCCATTAATTATAAGTTAAAGTTAACTTTTAATAATAAGGTTAGAGTCACATTGCATTGTTTGTAAAAATTGAATAAAAATATTATATAAAAAATAAGTTTAGGATTCTAGACGCACTTGGGCACTTGGTACTATAATTTTAGGATTAATTTATCATTTAACCTAAGAAAATAACAACTAAAAATAGAGGATCCCAAAATATAATTACCAGATATGAACCTCATGTACATAGCTTTAATGACCCTAGACAATCTATTTTCATAATTATTATTTTTTATAAAGTTAGCTCAAGTCAATGAGATAATTAGCATTTCAATTCATTTTATCAGCATTTCAAGGGAAGGAATATTCAATGACTTTCTATATGAAATTTTATTTTCAATTGTCATTGTGACGCATTTTTCTTGTTTATGTTGTCCACGAATATGCCTAGAAAAGAACTCTTGAGGAATTAAAAAAAAAAAAAAAAGTAAAGACGTGTTAGCCGCTGGACCAATGTGCTGCAAACGTGGGACAGCTGTACAATAAGAAGTCATTCATGGCTACCTCTCCTGGTTTACCAAAGTTGACTTCCCCAGCCCCTAGCCGTTATAAAAGCCAATCCAAATCCAATTTCTTTTATTTGCTTACGAAATTGAGTTCATATTTTATATAATGAAATTTGGATTAGATGATTATAAATGTCTAAACTATTTAAATTGTTTAAAATTTATATTATCAATTTGATAAATTTATTTATTTATTTATCTTAAGTGAAATATGAATTTAGAATTACTAATTTGAATTTCAACGATTAAATTTATGTATTAAGTACAGTCATCAAATTTAATAATATAGTATGAAAGCCTGATTTGTTATCACAAATTAATAATCATAATAATTGAGAGATTCAAAAACTCAAATTAATAAATGACCCAATAATGCATTGATTAAAAATGAGAGCTAATGAGAGAGAAACAGCCTATCTCATAACAAACATAGGAGTGAGAATGGTCACAAGAGGCTCAAATTATTATTCTCACTTTACTCCTTTCCATTTTAATATTCCCTCCATTTAAAAATATATAATATTTTTAATTAAATTTTATTTCAATAAAGTATTTATCTACTTTTCAATTAACCCTATCTTTTTATATTTACTCTTATCAAACACCTTATAATAAATATAAAATCATTATTAATAGGGCACTTTTGAAAAAAAAAATAATGATTACATCTCGAAAAATTAAAAATTTTTTATATTTTTGAACATCCAACTCCTCAAAAAATGTCTTAGATTTTTAAATGAAGGAGTATTTGAAAGAGTAATAATTTTTTTCTTTTAATTTTATTCTTTGTTTATTTATTATAGTTTGAATTTCTAGACAATAATTTATTATGATTATTAATTACAAAAAATAATAAAATTGCAAAGTTACATAGTTTTTAACAATTTTAAGGATATAATTATCATTTTTTCATAAGTATGAAATTGATTAAATTTGCCTTATATTTAAGATCCGAGGGGGTGTGTATGAATCATTTTGATTAATTAGGTAATGAATAGCATAATTATCTTTTTTATTAGTCATGTATAATTGTGATGAGAATCCGTTCACTACAAATTGGGACTTTAACTTAATTAATTAATAGATTTATGAGTAATTCAACCTAAATGAATTGCATGCAATTAACTTGGATGCAGTTCACTTTGGGTGTATCGTGAAGCAGTCAAAATAAAATTGATTATCTAATTATGTATTTAAATTTAACTATTTTAATATTTCGCAGTAAAATTGAACCAATTAATTAATTAATCAATTGTTTAAGATTTGTTACATGTCGATTCAAGTGGGGGGAAAAGACAAACATACATACTGAACTCCTTCACGGGACCTTAGTATATGAATGGGATTAAGCCATTAATAGTTTAATTAAACAAATAACCGTTAAAATGTCTCTTTCCATTTTTTTTCAAATATAAAGCCAATAAACCATCACATTCCAAACCTTCTCATTTGGATCCCAAGTCACGCAACTGCTAGGATCAATAATACAAACATAATAGTATTTGGGCATTATCATAAGACATAAATCAGATACAATATTATATTTTTAATTAATTAGCCCGCAAGTTTTTCACGGATTGTTTCCACTTCTCGTCGACTTATCTGGAAAGCCTTTTCCAACACTTCATCAGGAACCCCTGGTTTACTGGCAAACGTAGCAATTGATGCTATTTGGGCACCTGGGTTTTGACTATTAAGCCCAGAAACAGCTAGTGCAGGCTTTCTAGGATCAACATTGTATAGAAAATGAATCAAACCCTTGGGAAACACAAAAGACTCACCAGCCTTTAGATTTTGTGTGAAAACCCGATTTGATGTGTCAATAAAGCCCACGAGGAGTGTGCCTTGGAGGCAAGTGGTCACTTCCGAGGCTCGTGGATGGGAGTGAGGTGGCACGATTCCATTGGCTGCTAAGTCAACTCGAGCCAAGGTCAGGCCTAAGGTGTTAAGCCCAGGAAGATTAGCAATGTTGGTGAGGATGACATTAAACCCGAATTGGCTAGTGCTTGTGTTCCCAGGCTTGGACAAAGAGGATGTGGCAAAATGAGATGAAGTGGCTAGTTCTGGGTCAATGCATGGAGCTCCATTGAGATAAAGGGCTTGGGGCTTTTTTGTATCTGCAATGCAATAGTCTTGAAGGGGGTCAGGGTCGGGTTTGGATAGACCTAGTAAGAGATACAATGAGAAAAGGAATAATTTAAGAGATTGAAAATTTCTTCTCATTTTTAAGGTGTTATATAAGAAAACAAGACAATGGATGTATGTCATAGGTTTTAAGTTGTGTGAATAGAAGTTTTGTATATTTATAGGGGAAGAGAAGTTGGTGGATGGTGAGAAAAATGGTATGAAACAAATGTGAAGCTTTTCTTCTATGTGGGGTATGGATATTGAGTAGCTTAAGAGTATGGAATGAGAAAGACACAAGGCAAGCTTTAGAGAAATGTGATCAAATCGGAAGAAGCCACTCAAGTTGATGATGTTCATGTTTCATTTAACTTGAAAGTGACTTTTGATAAGTATGAGAGAAGCATGTTTATGGGGTTAGTTTCTCGAAGTCCATAATTATTTGTGGCTCTATAGCTTCTTTATTTTGTCAAATCATGTATTTTCTCCTAATTTTATCCTTATTTTTTTTTATCATGCATGGTTTGAATTGGTAACAGTAATTTATTATGATTATTAATTGTAAATAAAGGTAAATTTAAAAAGTTACATATTCTTTTTTTTTTTACAATTCTAAAGATAACTAATATTTTTAAATAAACATGAAATTGATTAAATTTTACTTTATACTCCCCCTGTTTAAAAATATAAAGTATTTTTAATCGAATTTTACTTTTTGATAAAGTAATTACCTACTTTCAAACTAATTCTATCTTTTTATATTTACTTCTATTAAACACCCTACAATAAATATAAAATTATTATCAATAACGGCACTTTTGAAAAAAAAGTAATAATTACACTTCAAAAGATTAAAAATGCCTTACATTTTTAAACATTTAACCCCTTAAAAAGTGTATTATATTTTTAAACGGATGGAGTATAAAGTAGTAAAAGGAGTACTTATTTAAATAGAAGAACTAACTAAATTCCTCCCTCCCTAGTCTCTACCCCTCTCCATAATATATTATTTCATATATAGTTTTAATCAATCAGAGCATTAATGATTTCAATTAGACAAATTAGATGGGATAAACCACCGTGGGTTCTAGGTTAAATATGTGAGTTTATTTAACCCATCTTAGACTGGGGACTTGATGAAAATCAAAACATAATATATTAGGTAAGTTAAATGACCGAACATGTATAAGCCATTATTTATTTTTGGATTAATTTACAATTTGAATTCTAAGCTATAAGTTTAGAAGTGATTTGGACTCTAAACTTGTATTTAGTATATTTTAAATCTTAAATAATTAAATTTAAAATAATTTCACTTCTACCATTAAATTAAAAGAAACATTCGTTACTTTTTTTTTTAGAAAAAAAAGGGAGCTTGATGTACAATTTTTTTTAAATTTCACTCTCCCTTTCTTTTCCATTCTCCTTTGAAGAAAATTGAACATCAAGCCCTATTTTTTAAAAAAAAGTTATGGACATTTCTTTTAATTTAATGATGGTGAAATTGTTCCAAGTTTAATTGTTTAAGATTCAGAATATATAAAATATAAGTTTAGGGATCAAATTGCTTGTAAACCTATAGTTTAAGGTCTAAATTATATATATACCCTTTATTTTTTTAAAAAAAATATTGTCCTTGAAAGAAGCACAAAAAATTTAAATGCATTGAATCATTCTAATGTCTAAAATTTTGATAATATTTGAATATTGTTTTGTAGGAATAGTTTCACATATAGAATCTTCAATTCTTCATCTCTCCCATATATTCTACGTTGCAATGTAAACAAATTCATTATTTCGTTTCTAATGATTAAAAATCAATAAGGAATAGGGGCTTTTGTAAACATAATTCATGTTATAGAAGCAAAAAAAAAAAAAAACAGTTCAATATTTATTAAATTTTACATTGTGGCTAATTTATTACATTTGTTAATGATATATCATTATATATCAATAAGAAACCCCTTGTAAAATTTTAAATTTTTAATAATAAACTCCTTGTATATTAATGATAAAATCCTTATATATCAATATAAATCGATTATACTATCAAATTTTCAAAAATTTAGTCCATGTTTTTTGGTTATGAGATTTTTTTTAGCTAGTAAGCTGACTTATCCAAAAGAATATGGTAATCAATGTGGGAGACGGATGGTTTTGCATTATGCAACATGAAGATGAAGGCGTATGTGTCTTTGAGTAAAGTTGGTAATTTAAGTCAAAGCTAAACAAACTAGTTTGAATAAACTCAAAAAAATTTAGGATTAGATTTATAATTTATAAAATTTTCTTTAGCTCTTACTTAGCACTCACAAACCTCTCCAAGACTCTCAATTTGCACTCCTAAATACTCCCTTTGTTTCTATATATAAAAGAAACTATCATTTTTAATTTTTTTTATATAAGCAAAATCACATTTTTCAATAGACATTTATTGTAAATTTTTTAAATTACCTCTCATAATTTTATCATTTATAGATATAACAGACAATTAATGAAGGCTTAATTAATACAATTAATAAAGGGTATTATAGTCTAATTCTTTTATTTTTTGACATAATTAATATAGTTAACTTAATTTTCTTAAATTGTGTGATACAATTTTTTTTCTTGTACAAATAAAAATGGAGGGAGTAAAGTTTTAATATTCTAATAATGTTTGTTTTGAATATTTTTTGAAAATATTAAGAAAAACTAAACAGAAGAGGTTACTTCATATGCTTTCATTTTTACTCCTTCAATACTTGGTCTCATGTTAATAAGATAGAAAAAATGTGGATTGTAGTGTTATTTTGTTTGATAAATTTTAATTTTTTAAAGATAAAAATTGAAGCTAGATAAAAAAAGTAAAATAATATTTAACTTTAAATATTTGAAGTCATTTTTAATAAGTTCGCCTTGCCTGAATTACAAACTGCATCTATGAGATAGAGGGTTAGAGATTGTCAAAGATGGGGTAAAAATTTGGAATCAATAATCATGTAACTTGTGTTTTTTTTTTTCAAACTTTCTTTTAGATTATTATTTTAATATGTTGGTGTATTTGCCCAAAAAAATATAATGATGTATTGTTTATGGATATTATTTTATATTTGATATTTTAAAAAATTGATAGGTTAACGGGTTGATTTACACTACTCAAAATTAAATCTAGAGTAAAATTTTTATTGATTGGATCAATCTTTGCTTGTTTAATTTTATTATTTATAATTATAAATAACAAAATTTCTTATGTATGTTTATATATTTGTTATATGTTAGCCTCATATGTTAATATATTTATTTTTTTGATAAAGTATGTTAATATTTTTTTTTGGATGAAAAAGTATGTTTATATATTAATGATACTGATTTGTTGCATGGTTTATAGTGCATGACTTTTCAACATATTGATACATTGGGCTTGAGCCCATATTGGATCACCCTGACAAACGGCATCGTTTAAAGTGCCCCGAGGATGATGCCAAGTCGTTTTACATGTCCCCGTTCATCTCCGTTCTGTCAGTATACTTGGCCAATAATATTCAGATATGGCTCCAGTTAAGCTAATTCAACAGGGTCCCACATGGGTCCACTGTCCAAGCTCCTCTGGGAAATTTATCTCACTCGTACCTTTCACGCTGCATCTTTTTTCTTCCAAAGTGGGCCTTCCTTCAATTTGCCTTCCATTTCACAGTTATCTGGATCGAATCAATCAATCATCACCATTGTGGGGGATAGCAAGTCTGTCGTCCACCAAATCTATAGTATTACTCAAGTTTGGTCGCGATTTCATCGTTCTATTCATTCACCATTGGTAAATTCTGTGCTGGATCGTTTTTTTTTATTTTCCATTTTAACTTTTTGCTTGATTTATCTGGTGCAGGTTATTCTATCGCAATTATACATTCGACCTTTTGGGTGGCCCAGTGCTTAATGTCATTAAAAAAGTTAATCGTCTTTGGGAATACAATCAAGGTGATCTGTGGGTTTCAAGTTTTTGACCCCTGAGGTTGCACTTTGCTCACGCTTTGTGGAATGTTTGCTTTGTCTTGATGATTGGGTTTAGGACTTTTCCAGAAGTGCACCGCTAGTGGACAAAGAATGTCTTTACCGTGGAAAGGTTGTGTAGAATTTGAAGTTAAAGGAATCAGTGAGCGAGCAGTACTGCTCACTGTCACGGCACATGCACATGTCTTGCAATCACTTTACTCATCATTTGCTGTAATTTTTTAGAGCCTTCTTTTTGTCTCCATTGTGAGTATTCTTACATTTCTCTTTTCTGTGAGATTCCCAGGATTGATTGATTGTTTTCGTTTCCTCATCGCTAGTTTACAGGCCTTGCCGTGCATTATTTCTGTGTCTTACGGTTCTAGCTGAGTGGTAATTGAACGGAAATTGAACTTCCATGTGTGATTTCGTTGTAGATTCTTCAGCATGTGAAAATAAGGTAAATCCATTTGTCACTAAGATTGTTTAAGATCACTGATGGATTCTTTTTTTTTTTTTTGGGTTTTTTTTGGAATTATCGTTCCCCTAAAATTATATGTCTATCTCTTAAGGGATTACCAATTTATTATTCTTCAAATCCTGTGCTTTTTGGTGCTATTGTGAGTTGTCCTCTGTGGTGTTGCCTGCAATTATGGTTACGGTTTTCGTTTTTCTGTGCTATGTTGGCAGATGGGAGAGACGGCGGCTTCCAGTCCTGGTTTGCAATTGTCTGTTTCGTTTGGTAGATTTGAGAACGATTCGCTGTCCTGGGAAAAATGGTCGACTTTCTCACCAAATAAGTACTTGGAAGAAGTTGAGAAGTGTGCCACACCTGGATCAGTAGCCCAGAAGAAAGCTTACTTCGAAGCTCATTATAAGAAGATTGCTGCTCGGAAAGCTGAATTGCTGAGTCAAGAGAAGCAATCAGACATAGATCCTTTGAGACCAGAAGATGAAAACGGTGAAGATCAGAGTGGCATTTGTAGGGCTGATACGGAATTTGATGCATCCAACAATGAAAATTCCATCGAAGGGGTCAAGCAAGAGACCCATTCTTTTGGTGAGATCAGCCGGACTGTCGTTGATTCTTTGGAGGAGGATTCTGCAGTCTCTGGAGATCATCAAGTCTCATCTGTCTACGGAGAGAGTGAGCAGTTGGAATGCATATTAGACAGTTCCCAGGTAGAGAAATCTGAAGAAGAAAGTCCTACCAATGGAGCTGAAGACTTAAAGGAAAGCTCTCTCAAATTGGACGAGGAGATGGTAAAGGCTTCAGAAGTCGAAGCAAAACATGTAAAAATGGAACATTCAAAGGACTCAAAGGTGTGTTTGATGTCATAGAAACTTCATTATATTTGTTTTATTGAAAAATTTGACTTGTTAAATCTCAGTTTATATGATGTAATAACTTTGGTAATTTGGATACCCTGTTCCTTGTTTCTCACTGTTTAGCTAGGACAGGCTACCGCTGGAGATAGGAATAGTAATGCAGCAAAGACAAAGAAGAAACCAGTGCTGCCTTCATCTAAGGCAGCTCAGGTTTCCACACCTAGAAGTTTAAGATCCACAACAACTCCAACCAAAACACCAGCATTTGCCTCAACTAGGAAGGGAAATTGTGTCTCTTTGTCTGGGAGGGGGACTACATCCACTGGAGAAAACAAAAGAATTGCTAATAAATCTTTGCACATGTCCCTTAGCTTGGGTACAAGTGAACCTGATCCGGCCTCTCTTTCATCAATGAGGAAATCATCTATCATGGAGAAAATGGGGGATAAGGAAATAGTTAAACGAACATTCAAAACATTCCAGAGCATCAACCTGCCTAAAACTTCCGGTGAAGAAAGATCCTTGGTAAAAAAGCAGGTAATTTTTATCATAAGGTTATGGTGTACTCTTACATCTCTTTTTTTTTGAAAAAAAAAAAAATTACCAGCGGAAAAACTCATTCATTTCTTAATGTTCCTTGCAAAATTCTTGGGCAGATTCCTTCTAGGGCAACAGAGCCAAGGATTCAAAAGTCTATGCGAAAAGAAAATGGACGGTAATCTTTTGAGGCTTTCTTATTATTAATATGCGATTTTAGTTCCTTCAGTTTAGTTTCTTTTGATAAATTGCATCTTTGTCATTTTCATACTATCAACACATCTCAACATATTTCGTATTTTTGACAATCATTTACATTTTTAAGACTGTACCAATATATGATGGCATTGCATTGTGGTTTTCCTTAGAAGAATTTTAATCAATCACACATAAATATGTTGGGTTCCAGCATAAAATTTATACGCTTATTTCCCTACAAGTATCTTTTGTGACCTTGATTATTTTTCTTTATTTGGGAAATGGAGGCTGGAAGAGCATTATGAGTCATATTATAGTAATGTCAAAGCCCCATCATGTTATGGCAAATTCGATCCAATTTACTCCTGTGCAGTGCCCAATCACTATCCAACCTAAAAGCTGTTCATTTGTTCAATACTATCATTGACCAACTTTTGCCCACCGTTTTTTTTTTTTTTTAACTATTTGTATCATATTGAATGTGGAACTTCTGTTTTACTTTTACACCTGTAGTACAAGACTACTTTTTCCAACTTGACCTCTTGTTTGGAGTCCACTTTTTCCGGCAGCCTATAACCTTATACTGTTAAATTTAATTTGTATTGTTTACCTAGATAAAATGAAAAAATTATGAAATGATTATAGAAAATAAATTGTCTGTAGGAGCTAATAGGTGCCTGTGCTTGATAGAGAGGCTGTTGATTACCTCCACCTCTCCCCTTCCTCCCTTCGCCAGGAAAAAAATTAATATAAAATCATAAAAGCATCTCTTAAGTTCTGTTTTGATGCTAGCACAGAGTGATCTCTGTAAATTTGTGTTTGCTGACCTACTGAAATTGTTCATAAATGCTAAATAGGCCAACCAAGGTTGATAGTATCAATAAAATAAGTGGAAATGCTGTCCGAGCTTTTGGAAGCTTAAAAAATGACATGAGAGCAGAGAAAGGAAAAGAGGTATGCACAAGTCCTGCTTGTCTGTGCAATTAAGTGTATGTGATGATATTAATGCCTCTATTTTCATTTTGGAAGTCTTGTTTATTTCTTCTGACCCATCTCTTCACTTTTCAAATCAGTTTCCAAAGAAAATAGAGGAAAAATCTAATACAACAGAGGCAGAAAGAGTACGGCTTCAATCAAAATTGAAGGTATGCTATTCTGTATCATAATTTTGCTCCAACAAATTACTGATATTTCTTGTCCATTCCATCTCTTAGGCGTGGCTTTATGGATTTATAGTTCATCTTAGATGTAGTCAGCTGGCTACTGCTATCAATTATCCATCTCATATGCAGAAAGTGCGACTCTGACCCTCATTTCTGAATACAGGAGCAAAGGGAGGCAGAGAACAAGAAAGTAAAACGCAATTTCAAGGCAACACCTTTGCCAGCTTTTTACCGGGTTCAAAAAGTATCAAAAAGCCGCTCAGAAAAGGCAAGTATCATACGTCTGAATATTTGATATCTACCATGTTAACGAGTAGGTTGAGGATTAAATACAGCAGATCTTTTCCTACATAATGAAGCGTAGCTGGAACGTTCATCGCTCTTTATTTTTCCCATTGATTATGATGATTTGGACTCATTTAATCGTCCTTGGAAAACTTCTGTTTTGTACTGCCGTATGAGGTATTCTGGCAGATGAGCAGAGGTGATGGTGATTAGTGGGCCACACTAATGATAAATGTTTACTTTGAATTCATTGTAAGTCATTTCTAAAATTGTAGCGCCTTACTATTGTCTATCTAGTCATCCAAATAATGGCCCCTTCTTAAATTAAGTAACAATGCAAAAACTTCAAGGCGTTGGATTTGGCTGCTAGTAAATTATTCCTCTTGATTGGCAGATCATTTTTTCGTTACAAGGCATACTCTCTGTTCGATCAAAATGAACTCTGAACTCTGAAATGTTTGTATTAATGGTACTAAAGAATTTTAGAGCCCATTGCATGTAAAGTTGCTAACAGACAAGCAGAAGCTTTAAACAACTTTATCAATAATTATTATATACGTGATTATTTGCGAGCAAAATGAAGGAAGAAAAGTGAGAGAAAAGCAGGAATGCATTGATGTAGGTTTATCCTTTCAATATTTTAAATCTCAAAAAATTTCTTCTTAATTCTTTCGTGTTCTTGTGCAGGGGGATGTTAATTCTGAGACGCTTCATCAGTAGCCCTTTTAAAAGGGTGAAGAAATAGAGAAACAAAAATGAGATGAAGTACATCAGTGGACAGGTAGATATATTATGTTCAGAGGAAATGTTAACGGCAATAACTCAGACCTTTGATTGAGAATGAAAGCAGTCATTTATAATTTGTATTTAAATTTGTACAATAATGAGAAATGTATATTGTGGAGTTTACTGGATAATGTGAGGAGTAGGAATCCTGCATAATTTACCGATAATAAATTTCTTCGCCTCTTTTGCAATTGCAATGTACCAATTAGAAAATAACAGAATATGAAGTCTGTAATATACAATTCGCATACTTCATGTGCAGGGTTGCATCATTTTCCTTCTTCCTCATCCTTTCTATGGTTGATTAGTATGGTTTCTGATATGTTATTAACCATAATTGGACAATTTTCTGAGTTGCTATGCAGCGAAGCAGTACTGTTGCTGGTATATTTTGCAATATGGGGAGCAGCTCTGATGACATGTTATCTTTAGTGAATAAATACAAATTCTCATTAATCTAAAATTACAAATCAAAAGAATTATCAGAGATACTGTAACAGAAAATCACAAGAAGCTATGCAAATTCTCGTTAATGTCAATGGAATACAACATTAACGTAGAAATAAACTAAAGAATGAGTGAGATGGGTAACGTCAAAATGATGGTTTGAGTTCCTGAATTTTCCAGACACAGGCTGTCCCGATGGTTGTCATCTCCACGTAGTTTGGGACCAATCAAATTGTCTCGAGTACGAGATTATTTACATCCGTGTCTTGTGAGCAAAACATGGAACCTCCCATGGCTTTGAATGAAATAATGTATTCCAATCGGCAAAACTGATAATTCTTCTGTATATACACATACATAGTGCCTCTGCATATGATATTTACCCAGAATTTGTTTTTGTTGTCTTCCTCTTCTGCATGTTACGAGCGATGTCGATGCAGGCCTGATCTACCATTCCCAGAAAATCCTTGACGATGACAAATATTTCCAGAAGATTCTCTGCTTTATCTTTTGAAGCTCCTCCTTGATAATACTCTGTTGTTTTCTTCACAATCTGCATTACCCTTGTCTGCTCATCTCTCACTGATCTCAATTCCTCCTCAGCATTTCTCAGAAAATGGTTCATTTCCCTCACAAAGCTCCCTCCTTTACCATTCCCACACTCGGAAACAAGTTGTTTGATTTCAGCTATCCGAGTTGAGAGGGATGAGATTGAAGCAACTAAACTATTGTAATCTACAAGGGCTGCTTTCTTCACATTGGAAAACTCTGTACTGATTCCTCCAACAAATGGTAATCCTAGCCTTAGGTATTCCACTTCTCTTTGTTCTTCTGAAACAGAGTTCTCAGTGTCTCCTTTGCTGTTTATTTTCCTACTTCCGCTGCGACTCAGGCTGTGATCACGGTTAAAAACGCAGCGTTTTCCCTCAGACCGGACTACTTCTTTGACCACAAAGTGAAGCAATGTGGTTTTCCCATCTGTGCTTTTGACATCAGAGAGCTTCCTCAAAGAAGACAAGTTGAAAGCTTGAGCATTGCCTCTTGAAGTACCAGCATTCATACGGTTTCCGGCTTTAAGAACTGCTTCAAGAAGCTTCACAAAGAGACCTCGAGTTCGAAGCTCCTTGCAGCCCAATTCAAGAGTGCTCAGAGACTCCTTGATCTCCATTAACTCTGTGTCATAGTTCGACCTGAAAAGCATAGCATTCAAGCGCTTGAAAGCTGAAGGAACAGCTCTGAGGATGTCATAGAGGAAAGATTCTGCAACAGCAAGTCTTGCTGGGTCTCCCCTGTAATCAAGGATATCAGATTGCTCTTCTTGGGTTGGAGCAACTCTAACAAGCTTCTCAATTGTATCTGAATTAAGGCCTTGACCTTCATCAAGGGCATCAAGAATTTCTCGTCGCGACACAGCTAGAGATCTCAAAACAATAGCAAAGTTCTGGGATTTTCTTGAATCAAGGATGAAAGTTGTGCTTGATTGTGCAGAGACCTCCTTGCTTGGACTAGATGAATTGCTTTGCCCTTTTGGTGTTCTTTTGTTTGTAGCCACATACCCAAATAGAGCTTCCATAAGATCTTGATCAACCCTGAATGAAGCATTAATGGACAAATATATCAGAATTTACTCTCACTGATTTTAAAACTAGGATTTTGATTATTATTGTTGTTATTACCTGAAGGAGCCACGATCCAACTTGTCCCAAACCATGGAATGATCAGCATTAGCGGTAACCTTATCCCAATGCAGAGGTTTAAGTTTCACTTTCTTATCATCGCTTTCTCCCGAAGGCTTTTCAACTGGGGTAGGCGGTGGTTTTGAAGATGACCTCAAACTTCCGGCCACGGGCGGAGCAGGTGGTGGTGCTGGACTCTTTTTAGCCGGCACCGGCGGAGGAGGGGGAGGCGGTGCCGGACCCTTTTTATCCGGAATTGCCGGAGGAGGTGGAGGTGGAGGTGGAGGTGGTTTTGTTTCAGTGCTTTTCGTTTTGTTCACAGCAGAAAAGTAAGCAGAAGGTGGTGGTAGTAATGGTGGTGAAGCAGAAGAAGCAGCCGCAGAATGCGGTGGAGGCGGCGGCGTCGCTTTTGAAACAGCAGAAAAATAAGCGGCCGGTGGTGGTGGTAACGGTGGTGAAACAGTCGCCACCGCTGACGCCGGCGCCGCAGGCGGAGGAGCTATTTTTCGAGACAAGTTTCTCCTCCAGCTCCGATTCAACCCATGTTCACCTTCTGATAATAAATTTTTCTCCGAAGCCGAAGACTTACCACGAAGCAGAGGAATTTCTTGAACAGGCTCAGATTTTTTCCGGCGATGATGTCCTCCATACCCATCTTCTGTTTCTGTTTCTGTTTCTATCTCTACTTGTTCTACTTCTTGTTCTTGATCTTGTTCTTTAGCTATGCTTCGAACCTCCTTCTGTAATCCCTTCTTGGAGGTATTTCTCCCTTCAAGCTTCTTCCAATAAATCACATCCAAACCATTCTCATCAACAATCAATCCCTTCACATTCCCTTCAATTCGCTCAAACGTGTTCGTCTGAGTCACATCTCTTCCATTTGCATTTCCATCCCCAGGTTCTGAAGCAGAGCTCACACGTCTCTCTTCTCTACGTCTTTTCTTTAAACACCATCTGACAAAGAAGAACGCTAACGCAGAAACAACCAGAGTGCTTGCTGCAGTAATAGCCACAGCCCTCCCTACCTTACCCTTCGATGATGAACTTCTGGTTGTTTCCGCCGACGCCGGCGTCGGTGCAGGCTGTACTTCTGATGACGGCGGAACAACCGGCGGTGGTAGAGAAATGCTCGGTTCAGAAGCTGGGGGTTGAGTTTGAGATGGAAAGAAGGTTTCGATGTTCTGAGGCTGGGAATTACAGATTGGTGCGAGCAGAGAAGTGTGAAGAACGAAGAGAAAGCTTAAACAAAGCCATGGTTTCACATTGGAGGAAGAAGCCATGAAAGCTGAGGAGAGAAGAAGAAGAAGATCGCAGACCAGAGGACGGCCGAAATATTTGGTTTTTTGAAACCGAATCTGCAAAGATTGTCCCTTTTCTGATCTGGGATTATTCCAAGTTTCGATTTTTTGGATTTTTCTTGTGCTATTGGGATTAGAGAGAGAGGGAGAGAGCGAGAGCGCGCGGTGCCTATATTTTCTGACAGTTTCAATAGGAGAATGAGTTTATTATTGTTTTCGGGTCTTACTGCTCACTCGTCCTCAAAATCCGCAATTTCCAAAAACACCCTGAAAATAGAAATGAATCCCAACATTCTCATCAAAGGTCAGTTATGTGAAAAAGGTGCCGTTCATATGAATGTGAGAAAATTCTGATGTTGATGTCTTATAGATGATTGATTTTTCAATATTTTTAAAATTCTTGTGAGTTGCGAGATTTACCATGACATTAATGAACCCAGTCCAACTCGCTCTTTCACTTCAAAAAAACCAATGGCTACAAGGGTAATATAGTACTTTAACCAGAAAGGTCTGGTCTTCGTTTGAAACAGTACAACGGGTGGCAAGGGATTAGGTGGTTCCTTCGTTCACTGTTTCAAACAAAATTGAAAAGGTTAAAAAAACATGAAAAAAGTTTGAAGAGGTAAAAGTTTAGGAACGTGAAATTAATCATCCTTTAAATATGAATTTTAGTGTAGGCTTTTTATGTGCATACCTCCTTCAGGGGTAATTTATAAATGTTTTCTTAATTTTTCTTACACAATTATATTATATCCAATAATATTATATTAAATTCAACTATAATCAAGCTTAATTCAAGATAATTTTTTATTTATAAATTCAAATTCTTAACCTTAATCCCATGAACATTAAAAAAAATCTGTCCAATTTTATCTATTTATTTCATAGTACTGAAATTTGATTCAATCCAAATAGTTAAATTATTAAATCATTGAACTAGTATTTTAACTAGTTTAATAAACTATTTTATTCATAACTAAATTAATCATGAATCGACCACCGTTTTTATAATTAACTTTTAAATTAATATCTTAATTGATTGAACGATTAATTTAATTTTACACTACCTTGATTTATTCCACCACATGAAATGACCTTAATGGTTGTGGGAGTAATCTAGTACTCTCACAAGAGAGATTTGGTCTTCGTTTGAAACACTACAAGGGAGTAGAAAGGGATTGAGTGGTTCCTTCCTTTACTGTTTCAAACAATAAAAGCAAAGAAAATTAAAAGTGTTTGAAGGGGTAAGAGTTTAGGAATATAAAATTACCCATTCTTTTAAATATGCCATGTTAATGTGAAAAATTAATTAATATTATAGAATAGTGGTAAGATCTTTTGCTGACTTGGTGAAATAGCCTCCAAATATGAAAATGTACCAAACCCCCTTATGTATACAGTAATGGTATGGTGGGAGGCTTAGAATATGGTTCCAGAACTTGGGATGAAGATGACTGCTTTTGACTTGGGATTTTAGTGGTGGGTCCTACACAACCTCCAATGATTAGGTAACATGAGAAAAGGCCAAGGGTGGCTCACCAAATTTTCTCTTTTTACCCATTTATCCCATCCATCTTGAGCTAATATAAAATGTCAAGAGTGTCATGCATGGATGACTTTGTGAATTGGATTTGATCAAATATTTTTAAATGTTCTATTTTGGTCAAATATATTTTTAAAAAAATAATATTTGGTATATAATATTACGAAATCAAATTTGAGAGTTGTTGTCTTGTTGATAGGGTCTTTATGCCAACTTATTTTTTAGCCATCTGTAAACTGAAGGGTTATCTAGTCCCTCCTTCTTAACCAACATCATTATGGTTAAATTCTTTTTAATGAGGATGGTACTCTGCTATGTTAAAACAATAGTGATATTATTTTATATAAAAAATGTTTATGTGAGTTGAGTTCGAAGACTATTATTATTGGAGTTTACATTAAAATTTAAAAAGTGCTTATAGAGGTATTTGCATATCGCTCATTAGCAAGATTCTTCACACACTAGTAGAAGAATTTGAACACATAACCTTGAAAATTATGGATCAAATTTTAACTGACTGGACCAACCTTTATTAACTAATAATGATGCTATTTTAATGATAAATTTAAATCGTTTAAATTAAATTCACATAGTTCATGTTATCTAACCTTTTTTACATTTTAATTATTTAAATTTAAATTTAAATTTAAAGAAAATTCAAATTCTTATTTGAATTGATATCTTATTCCATCCAAAAAATTGTTAGGCCTTGTTAGATTGCAATCCACAAAGACCAATTTGAAAACTGGGGGTTGGGGAAAAGGTCAAATTTGGAAGATAAGGAAGCATATTGGTTTGGATTGTCAAACCAACGCAATTATTGGAATTATTATTTATGATTTATTAGTTAGGTACGAAAGATGAGAAATTTTCCTCATGTTTATGTACAAAATCTAGTTTTTTTCCCCTCAAACAAAAAAAATCTAAATTTAATACTTGGTTTAAACTAATTTCATCGAAACCTAATTGAGAGCGTCCCCCCACCAAAGTTTATAAAAAGATAAACAAATAAAAACTAAAACAAAAGGTATGGAGGTTATGTTCCAACTACCTCTTCTCTTTAACCCCACAAATTGAGCAAAAGGATCGGCTCGTCGAAACCCATGATTCCAATTTATGCATTGAAATGAGGAGACCCATTTTATCAGAGATAGAATAAAATAAACATGAAAAAGGTGTGTGTGGGTATTATTTTTATGAACTTAAATTAAAAAATGGTGTAATGAAATAGTTACTGTTAAGTTATTGTAGTATTTGAAATAATAATAATAATAAATTGAAAGAAAAATTAATTATTTGATCTTTATAGTTTTAATTCAATCATAACTCAGTCTCTAAACTTTCATTCCTTATAGTTTTAGTTATTTAAAATATTAGTCCTTATATTTTAAAAAATAAAATTATAGAAATTAACTTTTAAAAATTTTGATGTTTGTAATAATATAAATAAAGATTAAGAATTTTAGTAATTTAAAAGGTAAAATACTCTGGCCACCTCTCTATTTTTCCTTAATTAGATATACCTCCATTCTATTTTTGAAATTTATATGAACAACCCCTAGTATCAATAGTTATAAAACACAAACATCTCATCTATTTTTAATATTTCATTTTCATCTACCCAATGTTAATTGACCATTGAGTGACATGTATTGCATCAAAATACCCCAATTTAAATATAAATATTATCTAAAAATTAATCATATTACCAAACAAAATTAACATATATTTTTTACTTTTTAAATTATATTTAATTTTTTTGTTCTGTAAACATGTTTATTGAAAAAGTAATTAAAAAATTAATGGATCAAAGATTTTTTTTGGTTATAAATAAAATAAAGATTTAATATAATAAAATTTTCAGCATGATTCATATTCATTTTCTTAAAATTTATTAATTTTAACAAAAAAAATTTAGGTTATTTATTTAAATATTGATGTACTTAATTATTCAAAATTTTTAAAATTAGGAGAGAGAGTAGGAAATTAAATTATAAGGGTAAATTAATAATTTTAAAATTTTCAATATAATTATAAATAAAAAATCAAGTATTTTAGAATCTTTAGCAGAAAATTCTTAACAATATTAACAATTGGATTAAAGTGCAGGTTTTGAAAATAAATGAAAGACCCCCATAAGTTTAGCAAAATAAAAATGAGGTCACTGGGTTTAACTCTATTCTAAAATATTAGTCTTTAAATTTTAAAATATTTTAATTGGACAGTAATTTTCTGGAAGTATCCGCCCATCGCGATGGAGAAGCCTTGGGATAACCTGTACTGTAACTAGAAACGTGGTTAGACGAAACGTTTCTATCCTGTAACTTCAACGGGGTTTTATGCTTCGTCTCTTGTTTATTTGATTGTTTAGTTTTATTTGTTGGCTTTCTTTTGTCTGGTTTTGTTACTCGCTGGGGCGTTGACCTCTCTTGTTTGTCTTTGATGGGGAGTCAATGAATCCCCCAAAAAAAAAAGACTAAAACTTTTAAATTACTTTAATATTTATAATTTTATTTTTTTAAATATAGTGTTAATATTTTAAATGATTAAGAATATAATGACTGAGTTACATTGATTCAAAGTTCAGTATTGAGCTATCACCAAATGAAAAATATAAAGATTAAATTATGATAAGTTAAAAATTAGAGACTGAATTATAATTGAGTTGATAAAAATTAAGTGATTAATTTTCTCCAATACTATGGTATGTCAATATATGGCATAAAAAATCCATATCTGAATGTCCATTGAATACATAAAAAGTCACAGCTTTCTCAACAACTTATTATAAAGGGCAAGACTTAATTCCTAACCTTATATATTTAATATTTTTTATTCAATCAAATTATAATAAATATATTTTAATATATTAATAATATTAATAATAAGAGTTTGCTATAAAATATATAATCTAAAAAAGATATACATATATTAATTTAATTAAAAACAAACATCTTATTAATATAAGATTAAATATATAACTTTTTTTTATTATATATGGTTTTATAGAACTCTATTATACCAATTCATAGAGTTGTCAATGAAAATTAACCTGGGCTTTATAAGCTCATTTCTTAGCTCAAACCCATAAATTTCGATTATATATATTAACAGCTCTACTAATCTATTATCTCTTATGTATATAGGGGGGCTGTCAAAATTCAAAGGTAATCATTTGTGAAAGTGATAATTAAAGAATCATTTACAAAATAATAATTAAAAACTTTATAAAGTTATTGATGACAATTGAAGATCTCAAAATATTGAAATTTAAAAAAAAAAGATTATGATTTTTATTTTCAGTTAAAATATTTATAATTATTGAAATAATCAATAAAAGATTGCTCATGAATTTAATGAAAGTTGATTGTAAATTCAAGGATAAAAACATGAAAAAAAAAAACTACAGCAATTAAGAGCAAAATTTAATGAAACTATAGAGATTAATAATTATATTTTTCTTATTTTTAATTATAAATAAAGATCATAATCTTTTCTATGATATTTCAATAATTCAAAATCTTCATATATAATTAATATCTTTACAAAGCCTGTAATTGTCATTTTTCCTCAACATTTTCTTGCATGGTATGGTGTCTAGAGTATTGGATTGAAAAAATTTTAACCTTCCAAAAGGCGGGCTGATATGTTCCACTCTGCCTAATCCGTG